CCCCCCCCCCCCCCCCACACACACACACACACACACACAAAACATTTCAAAAGGTTCACAGGGCTTTTACATAATGTCTCATTTTTTTCCCTTTTTTTTTTTTGTTTGCCTCCATCCCATTTGTGTGAAAAGCATTGTCATGTGTTGTCAGTGGACACAGCCCCCATGAGTAGTTGTTGATGATTCCCCCCCGTCATTTTCTTTGATTTCATCTTTGAATATGCACAGTAGAATCGAAGAGCCAGTCCAGGAAGTGTATCCCCAATGCTTGCGTGCACACACTCATTTGGGCAACCCCACTTTTTGTGCAGCCTCCCCCAGGGTGCTGCTGGGCATGTGCCAGAACCACCGCAAGTACACGCGGCCCAAGCAGATCCGAGTGTGCGTGGGCACGTGGAACGTCAACGGCGGCAAGCAGTTCCGCAGCATCGCCTTCCGCAACCAGACGCTCAACGACTGGCTGCTGGACGCCCCCAAGATCGCCGGGCACCCCGAGTTCCAAGGTGCCCCGGACGTCATTTTTAACGTTTGCCTTTGCGGTGCGGTGCGGCGCCCTTGTCCTAATCTGTCTCCGCTTTCCAGACAGCAAAGCCAACCCCGTTGATATTTTTGCCATCGGCTTTGAGGAAATGGTGGAGCTGAACGCCGGAAACATCGTCAGCGCCAGGTACGTGCGGGCGGACCCGGAGAAAAGTACAGTCAACTCACCCGGGGGGGGGGGCTTTCACACACCTTAATTTTTCCCTACTTCTGTCGTGTTTGAACATCAAATCCATTCCTAACGTGTGATTTTTGTAGGAGCCAGGGTGGCACCATCAGGACAAACTGCCTGGACTGTTTGGACAGAACTAACAGCGTCCAAGCCTTCTTTGCCCTGGAGGTACAGTAAGGGGAGGGGGCAACAAACGAAAGGGTCCATTTTGGAGGATAATCATCACGTGGCCGCGTCTTTCAGATGCTGGCCAAGCAGCTGGAGGAAATGGGCCTGACGGAGAAACCTCAGCTGGTGGCCCGCTTCCAGGAGGTGTTCAGGACCATGTGGTCGGCCAACGGCGACTCGGTCAGCAAGATCTACGCGGGCACCGGTGCCCTGGACGGCAAGGCCAAGGTGGTGCACCCACACGGGGCTCACGCCGATGTCTTGAAAGAGCGCCGCCGTGCCGTGTGCATTCTCGCGTGCTCTCTCTTAACTCTCGCGTGTGTCGTGTGCCGTCTCTTTCTGCCGCCCTGCGGGACGCTCTGCACGTGCGGTAAGTTCCCCCAAATTCCACACATTTGAGTTTTTGTGGCGGGACGGGATGAGAGACTTTTCTTCTTCTGTGGTTTTTATTTGATTGGAGGAATCCTTTCTTTTCTCCTGATGAGGAATTCCGATCGTCAGAAATGGAGGCGTGCTGCTTTGATTGCAGTGATTCCCCAACCCCTGTCAGTTATCCAATTTCTGTCAAATTTACACACTCAGCCAAAATGTATTTATTCAATTTCACTTGCACGGTTGGAAAATCACTGATCGCCAACAAGTACTTGGTTCCTCTGTCGATACCAGCCACATACGGTGACAGGCAGAACAATTCTGTGTGTGTGTGTGTCTGCCTGTTCCCAGTCGGTCAAGCACACTCGGCTTTGGTGGATAGTGAGCAGTTCTTAAATTAAACAACAACAAATAATCTTCGAAACTGTCCGTTGCTTTTTGCGTCACTTTTGTTTGGTGGTGTGCCGTGAAATGTGTCCCATTTATACGATATGTGTTGATTCTCAAACCAACCGAAATAGTGGCCGGTGTCAAATAACCAGCCGCGATCTCCTTCAGGCGGGAAAGCTGAAAGACGGCGCTCGCTCGGTGACCAGGACCATCCAGAACAACTTCTTCGACAGCTCCAAGCAGGAGGCCATCGACATCCTGCGCCTGGGCTCCACGCTCAACAGCGACCTGGCCGACAAAGCGCGGGCCTTGCTCACCACCTCCAGCCTCTACGGTAAGTCCATCGGCTCC